TTCTTTCTTTCTTTCTTTCTTTCTTTCTTTCTTTCTTTCTTTCTTTCTTTCTTTCTTTCTTCCTTCCTTCCTTCCTTCCTTCCTTCCTTCCTTCCTTCCTTCCTTTCTTTCTTGTATGGTTGGGTTTTTTTTTGGTATCATGGTGACCAAAACCGGACGTCGTATTTCTTGCCTAAATGTAAATTTGTCTTTTCTCACCGTGGCGTTGCGTTTTGTGGAAGACGGAAAGCGCGGGAAGAAAATCCCTTTCGCCATTCTGCGGCGACTCGTTTAAATGTACGCCTGGATGAGTTCCAGTCCCTCGTTCTTGCATCGCAGCATATAAAGAGAAAATAAATAAACGGGTTTTTATTTTATTTTAGCGTTCTGTGTTCCTTAAGGCAGGTATTGGAGATGGCTGTGGAAATTCCAGGGTTTTTTTCCCCTCCACTTCCTGCTTCTGGATTCTGTTTACTGTGTGAGGCTGGCATTGCGGGCACCATGGAGAAAGCAGCCTTGCTACTATCTCTTGCAATATCTTTGGTTTTGTAACGCCATGCGTAGGGCAGGTTGTAAAATATGTTGGGCAGGTAGCAGAAGATTAAAAGTTACGTTCTGCTTTATCTCCTATCTCTGGAGAAAACTCCACCCTTCCCAAGTGAACCCAATTATCACACTGCGCTGTCCTTCTTCCCGAGAATTGGATGAAGCCTCCACAGGTATTCCTCGACAGTTGGCTTGGTGACCGTCCAAAGTTACAACGGCACTGAAAAGAGGGGACTTGGGAGCAGTGGTGGGGGGGGGCAATGGTTAGAAGGCAGGATTGCAGGCTAACTCTGCCAGCTGTCAGGAGTTCGATTCCAACAACACAGCTGCTCAAGGTCGACTCGTCCTTCCGTGGTCAGTAAAATGAGGACCCAGTTTGTTTGGGGTGATAGGCTGACTCTCTAAGTGGTTTGCAAACTCAGCATTGTTGCCCCCAACAATCTGAGTCCTTATTTTACTCATCTCAGAAAGACGGAAGGCTGAGTCGACCTTGAGCCAGATTTCTCTCCCCTCCCCTCTTCTCCTCCCCTCCCCTCTTTTCTCTTCTTTTCTCCTCTCTTCTTCTCTCCTTCTTCCCTCTGGTCCTCTCCTCTCCCCCTCCTCTCTTCTCTTTGGACCCTTTGGAACGATCTCCCCGTGGAGATTCGCACCCTCACCACCGTCCAGAGTCCTTCCGCACAGCCCTTAAGGTCTGGCTGTCCCGTCAGGCCTGGGGATAAGATTCTAATTCGCCCCCACCCGAATGTTGAATGAAAGTTGTGTTTTATTGCTTTATTTTTT